GTGTGTCTTTACACACCAGCAGGAGCCAGACTGTGGGCACCACCTGTTCTCAGAGCCTCTCCACCCACCCATCACTGATGCCTATGTTTCTGCTGAAGTCCTCCTTGGTGGGAATGACCAGTGACCTCCCAGAAGCTCAGCAAACTGAAGCTTGCATGGTTGGGGAGACCATGCCACTGTGTGAACCACCTCCACTCCCTCCCATGTCAGCCACCTTCCTCTCAGTGGGCCGTGTCCTGAGCTATCACCTATCAGTCCTGCCACCTATCAGGAGTTAACAAGTTGGTGTCAGTCAAGTTAGGCAAACCGGGGTTAGCACAGGCAAGGTTACACCCAAGGTCACTGCGGCGACTCACCACTGTACATGTCAGGGTGGTTTCGTAAGGACGAGTCATTATAGGGATGGTCTGCAATAAACAAAAGAGGGTGAGCAAACAGGGCCACGGAGAGTCGTGGAGGCAGACAGAGGAAAAACAGAAACGCAAAGCTACAAAACAACTGAGGAGAGTGCCAGCAGCGTTGGGCGGGGGAAAGACGCAGCACGTGCGACAAAGGGGCTCTGCTCAGCGAAGAACAAGCAACACAAAACAGCCCCAAAGGAACTAAAAAGTTAAATCCTGCAAAAGAAAAAGGGCAAGAATAAAATAAGTCTATTTTGTAATGGAAGAAATTAGGCTTGCAGTTGGCTTGGTCCTAGTATGTGCTGATCAAATGAGATAAAGGATTAGTGGTGCCCTGCAGCGTCTTAGGGCCCAACTTCTCATCAGAGTCCTCAGCTCCCAGGACTCTGGGCCAGGCCAGCCCTCAGGGGCAGCTGAAGAAAAAGGGGTGTTAGTGAGCTTGGGGGCAAAAGCCTCATCCTGTGGGAGCAGAAGCTAAGCTGCAGGATGTAGGTGGGAAGTAAGTGGAGAAGACAGTCATTGACAAAGCAAGGGGGTGGAGGGGCCCTCGGATGCCGGGCAACATCTGTCCTGCAGATACATGACCAAGTGGGGACCTTATGGTCTCTGTTCCATCTATGGGGAGTGCTCCAAGGAGGCCAGGAGGGAGGGTAGAGGTCTGGCTCTAGAATTGGAAGGGCAGCTAGGGACAGGACAGCAGGTCATGAACAGTGAATGGCACACCTGGTTCCAGGAGGAGCCTGGTGATGAGGCTGGAGATCAGTGCTCCGAAGAATGCTGGGATGATAACATTCGTGAAGTATGGTGGCTTTGGTTCCGATAGGAAGGTCATTAGAACCCTTGGGTCTTTATTCCTCAGTGAAAAGGCATTTTAGAATAGGACATGCAAACATGCTGATGTCCTCAAGTAGCTTTTTATTTGCCACCTCATCACTGTCCCCTTCCAGGATTTGAGTTTTGACAGAACCAGCGGGGGTTGGGGGTGGGGGCTGACAGCCAACTGGAAGCCAAGCAGACAGCCCTGAGCAGACTAGGACATGGTCCAACTGTTAGGAGTGGGGGAGGGGGCTGCGAGGACAGGTGCTGTGCCAAAACATTTGCATATTTGAAGACAGATCAAATCCTGTTACGACTAATTATGAGAGTGTGTGAGTTCTTTTCTGGGACTGGCATTGTGCTGTACCCCCAATCTGCTTAACAGGCAGTAGGAGGATTTTCATTATTCAGCACGGCCTCTTCGGATGGGGCGAGATACACAAGACTTACCCCATGTGGGCAACGGGTTTTGCACATCTGGAGCAAAAGGCAGGCACTGAACCTCAACAGGCTGAGAGAGCAGGTGGCACTGGGCAGAGAGGAGCACACTCTGCCCTTTTAGTGCCCCCACAGATGAAAGGGCCCTTCTTTCATGCTGTCATGCCATCAGGGGAAAGGGAGCCTCCTGCTCACAACTGACCTCTGGAGCCCACGGAAGAGAATCAGCGAGACTTTCTGATTCCTTTAGGAAGGTCACCTAGTGATCAGAAGGGAGTACAGAGCACACTCTATTGCTCTTGGACTTAATTTCTTAGTATCGCAGGAGGGACTTGGGACCTGGTACGGGGCACAGCTGGGCAAGGGGACATGGTACACCTCTGTTAGTTGGACTCCACTGGTTAGCTTTGAGTGCATCCCAAACAGGTTTAAACATGATTTGACTTGATCTTTGTAGTGCTGGAGCTCAAACTCACGTAGGCAAGCACTCTACCACTAAGCTGCATCCTTACTCATAAAAATGTATTTTTTTAGATTACTCACTATTTGCCATTTTATACCTTTCCCTGTCTTTTAACACAGTTAATAAAAAAATTGTGGTGAAATTTATTTCTTCCAGAAGGGCAAACTGTGGGCAGATTGTTTGGCCTCCCATCCCCAGCCCTGGTTATGAAGGTAGAAGAAAAAGCCTCTGTCTTTTCCAGACAGGGAAGTCAAGAGCCCCTATTTTAAGCAACTGTGCCCAGTTCTGGGCCGGTTGTGCTGCCCAGAGCTTGCTTCCAGGCAGAGCTGCCTTGGGAGAACGCCAGGAGGCTGGCGGGATTTTGTTCCAGGCACCTAGAGGGTTCCCATCACTTGGAGTTTTCAGTGGATTAGGCGACCCAGAAACGAGGCAGAAGCGAACATTCATACCTCCAGTGTGAGAAAAGGGAATTTCTGGAAAGTTCAAATTTTAAGTGTTGCCTAAACTTCCATGTGTGTAATTTTACAGAGAAAGCACCTTCATCATCCCCACCTCCAAGCCACGATGGCAGAAGGTTGTATGACTTAGGTGGGGCAGCAAGCTGATTTCCGGCTTCCCCATGGGCATGCAGAAGGAGTCCAAGCAGCAAGCTGGGGAGCACTCCCACTCCTCCAACTCCTCCCACTGCTCGCCCTGTCTTGGCTACTGAGGCCATTCTGAGGCCCTGGGCAGACCACACTGTCCCCCCGGCTCAGCCAGCTGGCTGCCTGTCACCCGGGGTACACCAAGAGGATGCTGCAGACAAACCCAGCTTTTCTTTCCAGGGGCTGCCTAGGCCTGCATGAGAAACAAGAAATAAGGCAGGGTTGGGGGCAAGTGGAGCAGAACGGGGTTGCCCTGCTGGAGCACACAGGACATGGGCGATCCTGAGGCTGTCAGGCTGCAGGCAGTCAACTCCCCTGGGAACAGTGTGTGGGGATGCAGGTGACCAGCAGAGGGACGTGCAGTTCAAAGAAAGAGAAAACTAGAAGGAAAAGAAAGCAAAAAGAGGAAGAACACAGAGGAAGGAAATGGAACAGAAAAACCTAGGTAGAGGGAAAAAAAAAATCCCATAAGTAGTGGAACATAAAAGCAAGCTGCTTCCCTATGGATACCCCTCTCTGTCACAGGAAAAGGGACATGGGCTTCGTGACCTTCAGTGCACTGGCAGAAAGTGATGAGGAAAGAAAAAGAAGGGTTTAAGCCCCTGCCATCCCATGCCTTGCCCACCAGCACCACTCAGGTGACACTGGCACCTCCAGGTGGCTCTCTGACTGGGGGAGCAGCCAGCACCCACCTGGTGCTCGGGCCTGACCTCCCCAGGACCCTCAACACCCACAGCTCTGACAGCTATGTCCACAGTGTGCGTCAGACAGACTGAGGCCTCCTGTTAGGGTGGAGGTCGTAAGATATCCATAGTGAAAACCAACTGGGACAACTTTCAATGTCATGAACAACCCCAGGAGTTGTTTTTTTTTTTCCAGTAGTGAGGATAAAACCCAGGGTATTTTACAACTGAGCTATATCAACAGCCCTTTAGCAATTTTTTAAAGAAACTTTTCTTTTCTTTTTTTTTTTTTTTTTTTTTTTGTGGAACCGGGGATTGAACTCAGGCCCTTGTGCTTGGCAGGGAAGCGCTTATTCCACTGAGCCATCCCCCCAGCCCCTTTTTTAAAGTTTCTGACAGAGCCTTGTTACACCGCCAGATTGGGCTCAAACTTGCTGTCCTCCTGCCTCAGCCTCCCACATAGCTAAGATTGCAGGCATATATTACCACGCTTGGCAAGCTGAGGCCTTTGAAGCAAAAGTTCCAGGCTGGTTTGTCCTTGCATTTCTTTTTTTTAATTTTTCAAAAATGATTTATTGATTTATGCATTTGGTACAGGGTCTCACTATGCAGCTCAGACTCATAGTGATCCTCTGTGTCAGCTTCCCCAGCACTGGGATTATAGGCATGTGCCACCACAGCTGGCTTTGGGACTGGCATGGCAAGTGCTAACAGGAATCGAACCCGGGTTCTTGTGCTTGCCAGGCAGGCACTTAGAATGTTAAGCTATTTTCCCACCTGTCCTTACACTTCTAACTAAAGTTTCCTTACAACTCGGGGGAGGCCACCAATACTATCCTGGATCAGGAAATGTGACTTGCTTTTGCATCAAAAAAAGAAAAAAAATCAAGGAATAAAAACTAAAACAAATCAAGTCAACACATAAATATGCAGCTTCTAAACAGTGATTCTATGTGGTTCAGCAAATACCTATAATAGAATCAAATAAAATTTATTTTGTGTGTCCACTAGTTTTTTTGTTTGTTTCTTTTTAAGAGAGGGTGGTGCTATGTAGTTCAGGCCGGCTGTGAACTCACTATGTAGCCCACGCTGGCCTGGAGCTTGTGGCGATACTTGTGTCTCAGCCTCCCGAGGGATGACAGGTATGCTACCATGCCTGGCTTTCCCTAGTTTTAATATATTATGCTCTGGTTTTCTTCTGGAAATAAAGATAACCAAGCATTAACCAGAAATAAGCTAAAAGAGGGAATTGAGATGACTGATGATGCTTGGAAGCAGTGGTTGTCACACTCTGGAACGCTAAGTCTCGCAGCTGCCAGGCTGCCCAGCTAAAACAGGGCTGGGCCTTGGGGTGTGATTCTAATTCCCAATGAAGTTGGAGAAGTGCTGGCCAAGAGGGCAAAGTTCGACTCAAGGCTTTAGAATTGCGCAACACTGTCCGCAGGCAGGTGTGGTGGTGTGGGCGGGTAGTATTTCTAGGCAAGCCTCAGAGACACTGGTGCCTCAGGCTGTGGGGCTCCTCCAGCTGTGGCCCTGGGCGGGGGCCTGCACTTACTGGTGAGAACCTTGAGGGTGAAGGGGTTCTTCTGCTGGATGGTGTGAGTGAAATGGAAGCGGGCGTTGCAGCTGTAGTCGGTCTGCATGTCCTGCAGCATCACGTTGGAGAAGTACAGGTCCCCGTTATGGCCCTGGGAGACGCGCTTGTCCTGCGTGATGGGCTCCATGGCTGTAAGGAAGCAGGCAGGGTGGGAGGTCAGAGGGACTGAGCATCGCCTGCGGCCAACCACTAACACTACAGAAGTGGGCCTGGTGCTGCAGATTGACAGCGCTCCTTCCAACCTTCCCAGCTCTAGGCCAGAGCCGCTTCCACTCTACAGAGAAGAACCAAGCAAGCGGGCAGCAAGGGAGGAGCAGGAATTTAGATCCAGCTCGGCCTGCACACTGCCCTCATGCAGTATGACCATGCACTGCAAACCCCTGCTCATGCCACAGAAGATATGACTATCTCCTAGTTCAGGGGGAGGGAACGCAAGCCTTCAGATGGTCCTTAAGTCTGGGTATAAATTCTCAAGCTAGCAGGGGAGCGCTGCAAAGGCAGGGTCCAGCCCCTGCCACAGAGCCTGGCACGTGAAGGCTCTCAACAAGTTGGTGAATTAAATTCAGATTAACTTGGCCTTGTTGCACTTAATCAAAATTTAGCCACTAGCCATGAAAAGATGCTTTCTTTTTTTCCCTAAGAAAAGCAGCTCTTTACTACAGTTGTAAGATGTGCACCAATCACTGAAGCATACCACCAATTTTAAGAGTTCTTCCAATCTTAGAGCTGTTAAATTACAATAATGTGTGCTTTTTAGAGTTAGTGACATCAGAGGAATGGCTGAAGCTGCAGACTGTATTAATAATGCTTTCTCCAGCACTGATGGAAACACAAAAGACCAGGTCTCCACACTGTTAGGTCAGTTCACATCCAGTTAAGGCTGACTACACACAGCTGTCTCCTTCCTGTCCCCACAACTATTTTCCAAATCACCATATCTGAAAGCACAAGATCAGGGACGCCAGCATTTCCACAGTGGGCTCTTTGAATCACTCCTCAGAGATGTGCTGTAGGCCTCCTGGGCTCCAGACACTGAACCAGGTTCTGATGAATGATGAACAAAAAAGACAGCTCCTGCCCTCATCAAGCTGCCAGTCTAGCAGGAAGGACAGCAGGCAGTAAGTCACTGCAATACAGCATGCAGAGCAGAGTACACCAGGGAGGAACAGGAGGCTGCAGAGAAGGGGCTAGTCCACCTGGGGGTCTGGGGCTGAACCCTAAAGTCTGCATGTCTTACATCAGGTAGAAAAGATGGAGGAGCTATAGGGCTTCTCAGTGGCAGGAAGAGTGTTGCGAAAGGCTAGAGCCCACATGGGCTGGGGATGCAGGCAGAGGGTGACACAGGCAGAGGCACCAGCCAGGAAGGGGACCCGAAGCCAAGGACAGGAGTCTGGATCTTTCCTGAGGTGAAGTGAGGGAAGAGCCAAGGAAGGGCTTTAAGTATCTGACTTGGGAGCCCTGTTAGGGACAATACCCAGGGATGGGCTGATGGCGGCTGGAGCGGGGATGGAAAGAAGCAGAGGGCCATTAGGCCTGCTCGGGAGGAGGCATGGATGCAACATGGTGATGAACTTCCATGTGATGGATGAGAGGGGAGAGCTGGCACTGGGAGCTAACAAGCCAGCCCCTGCCTGTGGCTGGGCAGCCTGCCCACACAACACAGTGTGACAAGGGCAGAGGACAATGACGGAGCACAGAGCCACCCTCACAAGACAGCTTGCAATGCTGCCTTTTTGACATGGCAGCCCCTCTTGGAAGTGAGCTGATGGGCAGTGGATATGCAGACTGATGGATGGGTGGATGGGGTGTGTGGAAAGAGGGATAATGATTGGATGGACAGATGGATAGGGAGGGTGGAGGAATGGGAGGAGGGAGGGAGGGAGGGAAGGATGCAAAGGGATGGAGGATGGCTGGCTGGGTGAATACGGAGGGATGGAGGGAGGGGTCGAGAAATCGGGTGCAGAGGGAGGGGAAGGAAAGCCAGCAGGCTGCACAGAGACCACAGATCTCTAATTACCACTGTATTTATCCCCCATCTTAATTGAAAATACGGAAACTTAGGCCCAGAGAGGTTAAACAAACCTGACCCAAACCTGTGCTGAACATCTCTGCATGCTATCACCTGACCCCTGCCTCAAACACACTCTCTCCTCCTTGTCCCTTGTCAGACTTCATACTGCCCTTTGAGAACAAGTGGGTGGAGCAAGTCCAGACTGACCAAAGAGCAGGAGGAGGTGTGGTCCAGCCCCCTCTCATTTCCCCTCCCCTCCCCGACTCCAGGCCCTCCCTATGGCCCACAGGCATGGTTTTTCCTCCTCCTGTTTTTCTTCCTTTGCAATTCTTGACCTTCACAAACAGTACTAAGAACTGTCTGTGTGTCTGGCCCAGTTCTCATAACTTTGGATGGATTAGCTCACTGACCTTTACAGTAACATCCCCAGGGAAGTACATTGCTAGTTCTGTTTCTCCCAGAAGAGACGCAAGCCCAGGGAGGTTACACAACCTGTTTAAAATCACACAGCAGAAGCAGTCTCTCTGAGACCTGTGTTTTCAGCCACATGGCCAAGCTGTCTCTGTCTCTTCCAAGCATGGTCTTTCAGCTTTGAGTTCACCCTCCCATCTAGCACAGCCAGCTCACCCCTAGGACTAGATTCTCCACAAAACTTGGGGCTCCCAAAACTTACAGCTGCTCATCCAGAAGATGACCGGAGAGGGGAGACCCGGAGGGGGGTTGCACTGCAGCGTCAGGGGTGCGCCTTCCTGAACCACAACTGGGTCTAGGTTTTCTTTGGGCCACAGGGGCGATTCTGGGGAAGAAGACAAGAAGGGTAAAGTGAGGGTGAGGGCTGAACTCGGGCAGGAGTGCAGAGGCCTTTGTTGGGGTGTCTACCAGGCAGCAGGGTCTCCTCTTCCCCTTCTCTGATACCCAGGGTGGCCTGTGATTTTGGGGCTGACTCTGGCTTGCAAGTTTCCATTCCTGGGAATTTTTCTGCCCTCTTGGCATGACCTTCCACGCTCTGCCTTATCTTCCTGACCCTGCCTCGCAGTACTCACTGGACACCTGCAGGCGGATCCGATTGGACAGGGCTGTGCCGAACTTGTTGCGGGCGAAGCACTGATATTCGCCCTCGTACTCCTCTGGCCGCCCACCACTGCGGAAGTCGATCACCAGGGTTCCCGACCTCCTCCTCATGGACACCCTTGGGTCCTTGGCGATATTAAAGAATCTGCTGTTTCGAGTCCAGTGGAAGCTATGGACAAGGGGGATGGGGTAACCATGACAAATGGCCAAACATTAATGTTCAGTTCCACCCACACCCCTCTGTGCTAACAGACCCAGCCCTTGGAGGTGGAACTTAGGGAGTAGAGAGGCTGCAAACCCCGTGTGCTCCCTGGGTCTCTCCGGGGCAGGGCCTGGTCTCAGCACTTCTACACCATGCAGGGGGGATCTGAGGGGTGGGCACTCAGCCAGCCCACAGGAGAGTCTGTCCTTTAGGTGTACCAATGGAGAGCAGGCAGTAATGTTGACTTTTTCAAACCCAGAATGAGCTGCTCCTTCTGGTCTCAGGACATGCCCTGTGTCCTGCCGGGAATGCAGACCCAAATTCACGCTGCACCAGGCCCAAACTGGTGAGGACTGCACTGTTCCTTCAGCCCCTGCCTGCCACACCCAAAGGGAACTGGCTGGGCTGCTGCCATGCTCTGCAGGTGTGGATGGTGAAGTAGTGGCCACACTGCTGCGCTAGAGGACAGCTTTCCTCTTTTTATTTTATATTGTTGTAAGTACATGTTTGCAGCATGTGAGGTATGTAAAGTAAAGCCACATTAATATGCTGAGCTGTGAAAGTCAACAACTTCTCAAGTCAACAACTTCTGCGGATAACCCACTATTATTGTGGGCTGCTAGACTGTGTTGAATTGTTTTGCTGAATTCACACACCTATAGTATCTAGATGCCAATGGAATACCCATTTCTGACAGGACTAAACAAAAGAAGGGGACACAAAGGAAGGACCATTTTGTATTTGTATATACAGAATAGTTAGGATAGCTATACAGCTACTTTTGCTTAATTTAATGAGAAGGAAGATTGGTAGTAATAGTGTTTGGACAGGATATCCTGTCTGCTTTTTGTACTATGGATAACCACTAAGAAGATAACAATGTACAATATATTAATTATTAATTATTGAAAATGTCCTATTAATCAGCTTTGAAACTGTCTTGCTGATATTTGTTTCTCAATAAAATAAAATAAAAAGAAGAAAAACAAAAAGGATCACAACTCATCACAGGGAGTTGGTACATGTACACAATGCATCTAAATTGTTTTCTTTCTCCCTCTTTTTCCATCCCCTACCCTTCCTGAAGAGGCAGCTTTTGAAGGATGGGCAGCCTAATGACACTGAATGATGTGTGGAGCACCTGATGCCCCTCTGGGCTGGGGCCTGTAGCTCAGTGGTGCAGTGCTTGCTTAGCATGCATGAGTCCCTGGGTTCAAAACCTAGCACTGCAAAAAAAAACAAAAACAAAAACAAAAACAAAAACAAAAACAAGGACAATAATGCAAAAAGCAACAAAGAACAAAATGCCAAGCGCCTTGCTTTGCTTGGGAAGACACAGACAGGGCTACACCTTCAGCTGCTCATCACAGAAACAGTGAAAGCAGGGGGAGAGGCAGAGGCTGCTCAGTGTGAGTCACTGTCCCTGCAGAGGAACATGGGAAAAGACCAATCCCAGAAGCACCATCACCGGTGTCACCACTGGGCCTCCAGGGTGAGTCCCACTTCTGGCCAGATAACCTCTGCTGGTTCCAGGCTCACAGCTCTGGGTCAGACCCTTTCATGAAAATCTGGGTCAGAACAAGGCTGCCACACACACCCTGCAGCCCTGGGCCAGCTTGTTCCTCTGTGACACCCACATCCTGGCCTGGCCTCATCACAGCTGGCCTAAGGCCTGTGGAGCCCATGGCTGCATATGTAATGGTGGATGCAGACAGCATCTGCTGTGTCTCCAAGCTTATCCTTGTCGGAAATGAACCGGGGCTTGTGGGGTCAAACGCTGGGTTTATACCCAGCTTCTGCCACTTCCTGGGGAAAAACTGTAGAAAAGGTACTTGAAATCTCTGTTCCTCTGCTTGCCTCTTCTGCATGAGGACATTGATCCTGCCGCAGACAAAGATGTACAGTGGAGCAGACAATGTGAGTGAGAGCAGCCAGCGGAGCCTGGCCAGATCGGGCATCCAGCTCCTGTCTGCGGAGCCCTCACTTGATCCTGATCAGCAGATAAGCAGAGAGAGCTCAGAATGCAAAGCTGCAGTCAGCCAGGAGGAGGAACTCTCCAGAGCCGAACAGGGAGTGGACGATGGTGACACCAGGCTCGGGGCAGAATGTTCTGCTAGAAGTCAGAATACCTGGTGTCTACTCCTGGCTTTTTATGGTGAATTCAGACAAACCACTTAAGTACTACCAGCCCCTACTTTCCTTATCAGCTAATTTTCCTGCTTCCTAAATTGTACCTTCTACCTGGTCTGAGGCTGAATTTAACTTCTTGAGTGCCTGATTTGCCTGCTGCATCATAGGGCCCAGAGGCGAGGGGGTAGTCTTCGCTGGCCCTTCCCCCCACTCACCTTGGGGCGGGGTTCCCTTTTGCCTCACACTCAATCAGGATGTTGTCACGGGGGTCCACGATGTGGTCCTTCACAGACTGCTTGGTGATAGTTGGAGGCTGGGTCACTAAAACAGGAAAATGGGGGCAGTCAGGGCTTCAAGGACTCGGCTGGGTCCTGGCTTTGGGGACAGCTGAAATCATGGGCCATGCAGACAAACAGGTGTGAAAAGACCCTACTCTAGAGACCCACTTCTCAAATGGGGCTGTAGGAAAGAGAGTGGTTGCTGAGGGCTAAGAAAAGAATGCCTTCACGAAGATGCTGGAGTGTCCTGTGAGAGGCTGAAAGCCAGGCATTTCCTATGCCCAGCCTTATGTCCTAACACCTAACGCTCACTGCCCAACAAGTCTCTGGCAGGAGTGTGCTGGAGGAACGCAAGAACAAAAGCAGCTACCATTTTAGAGCTCAGAGGCTGTGGTTCTGAGTTTCAAGGCACACCATGGGTAAGAGCTGAAAGAGGCCTTAGTCCTAGACTGCGTCCTTGGGGCTTATCAGATCCTCTACCCCGGGGTCCTGGGCCCCAAGGTTCTATGTCAGGGTCCCATGCCAGCCACCAGAGGATAGAGGAGCAGGCAGGGCTGTGGTGGACCTTGGCTTCCATCCAGGGACTCTCCTCTGTCGGCCTGCTCCTCTACCTAATCCAGCAGTGGGAGCCTCCAGCTATGTGAGTTCTTGGTCTCAGTGTGGTTGGAACCTCACCACAGGGCTGGTGGAGAGGCTACTGGCCCCAGGCATCTTCTCACCTGGCCTCACAGGGCCTCTCCCACCCTCCTGTCCTCCCTCCTACCTCAGAGGCACAAGGGTGGGGTGGTGCACAGGACTTACGCTCATTCTGAATGCTTGCTGTTAGTTCCAATGGGTTAGCATGAGAGGGAGAGGGAGAAAAGAACACTGTTATCGCTCATGCCTAACTACCAAGTATCCTCATGTCCACCAGGCAGGGAGAGGGTTGAGGGGGTCATGGGCACAGCCCTGGGTCCAGGCTTTCTTCAGAGCTCAGGGTAGAGCTGGCTAGAGGTTGGGAACAGACCCATCATGTGCTTTATAGAGAAGGTGCTGCCCCCTTGTAGTCCAAAACCCAAATAGGGAGCCTAGAGACTGGTGAACTATTGTTGCCCTATTCTTGGCAGAAATACATTGTCCTATGGAAATCCTGCTCCTTACTGAATTTTACACAGAGAGGGTAAAGAGGAGGATGCTCAAGTCTTCTCCAGCTGTCCCTGGAAGGCGCACCTGCTGAGGACAGGTGGCTCCTATACAGGTAAGGATATGCTGCTGGGGATGAAACTCATGGGCTCAAGTTTGCTAGGCCAAGCGTTCTGTCACTGAGCTACAGCTGGGCCCACAGTCTGCATTTCTGACCAGTGGCCAGATGATGTGGAGGCCTGTGGTCTGTAGTGTAGCTTGGATAGCAAGGGTTTGGCTAGCGTTCTTGTGGGGAGAACATCTTGGCTCAAAGGTGTCTGCAGAAAAAAGAACATGAGCTGCTGTAACTGCAAAGTATCTTTCCTTAGGACAACCTCAGAACACACCTCTGCGTTCTCACTGTACAGGGTGTGGACACTGTGGGTTGACTTCTTGAGGGGGTGCTGGGGGAAGGGAGACTGCAGCACCAGGGTGGAGTCATGGGGACCTTGATGCCTTGCAATCTGCTGATCTTCTGGGAGGGTGGGATGGGGAGGAAGAGGAGTGCGGGGGTCAGGGGGCCTGGAGGAGCTGGAGTTCATTAGGCCCAAAAGGTCATGGAAGCAAAGGGACAAGAGACAGGTGAGGAGAGAGTAGGCATGGTGGGAATGAGTCCCCTAGAACATGCACTGTTGACAGTAAGTCCCAGCAGCATAGCCATAGAAAGCCTTCACGGTGGGCTGGAAGAGTGTGGCCCACGCAGAAGAGGTGTTTCCTTTTCCCATGTGCCCAGGGCTTCCCTGGCAGGAAGCAGGTGGGAGCGAGGAAGAAGTCCCGTTTCTGCATACACACTCCGGGAGCTCCTCACAGCGGCACTGTCACTGGTCCGTGATTTGCCACCAGGGGCTCAGGAAAGGTGACTACGTGGGGCTGCCATGGAGTGGCAGGAGGATGGAGGGGCCATTCTCAGGACAAGCAGGGCTGACACCAGAGCTCAGTCCTTCTGACCACCGGCTCGGCCTTCTCATTTCCAGGCATAACTGGGATCTGTTGGGTCCTCACATACAGGTGGGGCTCTGGCCTCACTCAGAGGAGCTCCAAGCAGCGCTTTCACAAAGCAAAAGGTGGATTGGCTGGAAGAGCCCTAGACGTTGGCCAGAAGCCCTCTCTCCAATAGCACGCAGTTACCCGTTAAGAGCCCATGGGAGGTCTGGTGCAGAGCTAGAGTGGATACTATGCCTTCCAATCTGCCAATCTGGGGGAGTGGGATGGGGAGGAAGAAGAGTGCAGGGGCCAGAGGGGGCCTGGAAGAGCTGGAGCTCATTAGGCCCGGGAGGTCCTGATGACAGAACGCTACTGCTGTCTCACTAATGTGCTTTTTTTGGTACTGGAGACTGGACCTAGGGCCTTTACACTGGGCTACCTCCCTAGCCCTTTTGTTATTTTTTATTGTGAGACGAGGTCTCACTAAATTGCCAAGTTGCCCAAATTGTAGGTGCGCACCACTATGGCCAGCTCATAGCTCTGTTTGGTTTGCCCTTGCCTGGGGAGGTGAGTTAGCCGGGGTGAGGGGTGGGGAGGGCTCAACACTCTGTTCTCCTTTAGATGAACACTTTGGATCGGGGAAGAGGGGAAACCTTGAGTGGAGGCTCTCAGGGCAGCTGGAGCTGGCTGGTTGCTGTCCCTACCTCCACATGGCCTGTCTGGCCAGGAGCCTCTTGAAAATCTACTTGCCAGGGCACAATGACATTTGTAGCCACCACTGTGCTCTTGAGGAATTTATTGCAGGGACAGTATCGTCCCAGAAGACAAGCTGCCACCTGGAGAAGACTGGGGATAGGACACGGCCAAGGACAAAGAGAATCAAGCTCTCATCCAGTGTCACACCACCTGCCTGGCTCTCCTTCAGAACTGGCCGTCCGGCGATGAATTTGCTCTTTTTGCTCCCACAAAGCCCTTCCAGCCCTTCGATGCCTCTGTTCCCTTCTGGGCATTGGGACCTGAGAGCTCTGGTTCTCACTCTTCCCTTGAAGAACAGGTGGAGGGGTGTGAATGTCATGGTGCCCATCCCATAGTGAAGGTGGGGAGGAAGTGTCTCTCCCACTCTATGGGCCTTCTCTGCAAATGCCCAGGACACGAGTGCCAAGTGCCCTTGGTGTGGGATGGACAGACAGAAGGGCAAGCCTCTAGCAGACTTGGCTTTTGGCAAACCCGCTGTGGCTCAGGAGGTGACCCTTTGGTTGTTCCAAAGGTCACACTGTTCTCCTTGGAGCTGGAGGGGTGGGGATGTGTGAGACTTCACTGTGGTCTCAATGAGGGATTGTGTAGTGGCCCAGGGCCCTCTTCCAGGGAGCTACAGTGCCAACTCCACAGTGTGGAGGCAGCTTTCCTGCCCTTGAAGCATAGAGAATGTCTCCAAAGGGGAAGCAGGATGACACCAAGGAGTCCTGACAGCCTCAGGCCAGGAAGGTTAGGAAGGCAGATCTTTCCTCAGCCCAGAGACAAAAGGGTGCTTGGCTAATACCAGAGCAGGAGCCTGGGTGCTGGGCCTGGAAGAAGCTGCTGGGACCTCTTCAAGACAGCTGGGTCGGCGGCGCTGGTGAGATGGCTCAGTGGTCTAAAGCACCTACTTGGAACAAGCTTGGGAAAGCATAGGGACCGCGGTTCAATCCCCCAGCACCACATGCCAGCCCGCCCCGCCCCCTGGTGGGCTGAGCTGGCCACACACACACACACACACACACACACACACTAAATAAATAAATAAATGTTTAAAAAAATTAAGAAAAAAAAAGACAGCTGGGTCCTCTGGGCAGGGCTGTCACGCATGTGTGTGTGTGTGCGCGCACGCGCGCGTGCATGCGTGTGTACATGCGCAGCATCTAGAGATGCTGCAATGGCTAGGGATAGGGCAGGACCTCCAGGACACAATCCTGGCAGCATGGGCTATCCTGGACTTCTGCAGGATACACCTCTCCACTAGACTGCTTCCCTGTTTCCTAATCTGTCAGCTCAGGTGAATACCTGCTTCCTTGCTTCACCAGGAGAACGCTGTGTGATGAGATACAGCGTTTGGATCTCTGCCTGGCCCTGGACAGTGCTATTTCAGTGGGTCCAGGGAAGACTGCGAGGAGGTAGGGTAAAGTACAAGGTGTGGGTGGGTGGGTGGGGGGCATGCTGAATGCCAGAGTGGGGAGGCAAGAGATTCAGATTCAGGTTCTTTTTTGTCTTTATTACCATATGTCAGTGACTGCAAACAAGCAAGGGGCAGAGTTTAAATGAACACAACACAGAAGGTTGGCTTCTTCTGGACCCCCTTGGGGGTTCTAGGATGGGATGGAGGATGGGTAGGTTAGGGTACTCTCCGCTCTTTGCCATAGCAGCAATTTGGAGAAGATGACTGCTTGGGTTCTCTGTCTACAGCAGTATACAAATCCAGATTTCCTCTTGCCCCAGGACTAGGCATTACATCCAGAGCCTCTACATTGAGCTATATCGCCTGCTTTTTATTATGTTTTTATTTCGAGATAGGGTCATGTTAAGTTGCCCAGGCTGGGTTGGAACCTGCAATCTTCCTCCCTTCTCTCAGAGTGCTGAGATTACAGCCCTGCACCTATCAGAAATCCACCAAAGCCATCTCTTTCTGAGTTCACAGCACACGACCCCCTCCTCCACCCAGCCTGAGATCAGAATGGCAGATGAGTGAGTGAGAAGCGGCAGAAGAGAAATGAGCCTTCACCACTTTCTTGATAACCCAATTTCCTCGGCACCCCCTCCCTCTCCAGGGACATGGCCTTTATCGCGCTCCTATTAGATTGTCTGCCGGGGACTGTTAATGAGAACCCTCCTCCAGCCTGCCAGCTGCAGATGGTCACCATGGGAACAGTTCCTCTCACAACTCGCTTCCCTGACTGCCCTGTGTGTGGACCCTGACGTGCACATGCACCTGGGCCACTACTGGGGCGCCAGCAGCCTTGCTCATCTTACTTTTGGGTTCAGTTTATAATTATTGTGGTTCTCTACCATCCCCGGTGCCCACTCCCCTGGGGCACCATTCTTATGGGTAGCACAGTGTAGGAGGAAAGTCCGCCTTTAGAGAGCTCCATGAGGACTTCCTGCAGACCACTTATGCTGCCACCCCCTCTTGAGACATCTGTCAACTAAGGGGGGGACATGCCAGTGTTACCATCACGCTGGTCCTAGTTATTCCTTAAGGCAGGACCAAGAAGTGTGGCTGCCGACCAGCAGGCCACCCAGGAATGCAGCAACATGCAGGGTGCTGTCTTAACATTTTAAACTCCTTAGTTTAAGATTCTGATGGTCAGACAGTGCCCCAACCAGAGAAGCAGAATAGATTCACTCTCCAGCATGACAGAAGGAAGCCATGTCCAGTTCTCCTATTACACTGAGGTTTCATTTTATTGTCTTACTTAAGCCTTTAACAAAGATAAGCACCTTCCCAACCTTCCCAGGCCGTCTCCTCTCCTGGGCCCTAAAGTGAAGGGAGCCAAGGGTTCAGCTTTGTATACAGCATTAGAAAGGCAAGTACACTTCACCCTGAAACTGCTCTTAGGGAAAGGCCAAAAGCAGACAGGGCAGGTGAGCAGAAGGAAGGGCACCAAGTAGCTCCCAGAATTCCATACTATGCCACCCTGGGAAGGCCGAGCCTCATCCTGAGCCTCATCATAGAGACCAGCCCTGTAACTTACAGTATCAGACTTCCGAACACGAGCCTGTGTTGATTCACTGGACAGAAGATCAGCTTCGAATCCCAGAAGCATTCTCTGCTAACCTCTCCCCAACCTTCTCCAAGTCATCTTAACTCTCCCCTTGTCTCCCGCTCCTCTGCCCCCAAACAAGAAGAGGATGGGGCAAGACTCACGATCCATCGGAATCTCGATGGCCCCGCCAAGACTGAGGAGGAGGAGGAGGAAGGCTGCGTGGACCCAGGGTGGCGGCTGCTGCCTGGCCATCCTCGGCACCAGGCCCTGCTCCCCACTCCCCAGCCCTCGGGATCTCGCTGCCTCCAGCTGCTCCACGTGGGCTTTCGGGACAGAGCTCAGCTGTGGAAGGAAACACAAGAAGTAAGTTTTTTGTGTACTTGTGTCTGCCCTTGTACTCCTCAGGGGCGCTGGAGGACTTTGGGTCTCTTGGTTCCCTTGGGCACGGAGCAAGGGGCTGTCATAGAACAGGGCTTTTAACTTCAAAACTAATGACATATGAGACTGAACAGTTCTATGTAGGGACCTGTGCTGAGCATTGGAAGACGTTTCCCAGCATCCTGGTCTCTTTCTACCAGATGTCAGCTGGGTCCACCTCTACCTCTAACCAAAAATGGCTCCAGATGTTGTCACTTGTACTAGGAGCGCAAAGCCACCCACAACTGAGAACTACTGCCTCACAAGGAAGGACAGTTCCACACACATTAGTTACAAAAGCAAACACTGGCCTGCAGGCCCAGCATCCAGAGGATGCCATGCAGAGGTGTAGAAATGCAATAGCCCATGGACTCCTTGAGTGAGTTTGGAGCAGGGGCAGAGAGACAACATCACTGTGATCTCTTCTGATATCAGAGTGAAGTGATGTGGTGACATCAGCAGCCCTGGGAATCCTGGGTTGAATAGATGGAACCCCAGTTGGCCACAGACTGTTTTGTTCTGAAAGAGCAATTTCTTCAAATATTTTGTGCAGCTCAGGTGTGCTGTCCCTTTAAAGGTAATGGCAGTAGTGTGACATCATAGGAGAAGAAGGCTTTGGGGTGGTCAGTAGAATAAACAATATCTATGACAGCTTAAGCACAAGCTATCATCGCGAGGCACCAGGAAGACGGGTTAGAAAGGTGCTTTCTGTCTCAAGTGCGTCGTCTCCTTAGGAGACTGCCCCCTCCCTCGCTCCATCCCATGATAGGACAAGAGTGGCCTGCAGCTGAGATGCAATCAAACACAGTGCTAAGCTGGCCGAGACTCTGAATCACGGCGTCTGCAGTCACGGTCTGGTTTGCTCCTCTACAAGGGGGCTAAATCAAAGAGGAAGGCAGCACAGCAACCACTGAAGAACAGCAGCCATGGCCCTCTGCTACCCAACGGCTGTGGGCCTCAACGAGGGCCACAAGGTGACTAAGAATATGAGCAAACCAAGGCACAGCCACCACTGCAGATGCCTCACCAAACATAGCAAGTTTGTGTAGGACATGATCCAGGAGGTGTGCAGCTTTGTCCTCTATAAGCGGCGCGCCATGGAGCTGCTCAAGGTCTCCGTGGACAAGCACGTGTTCAAGTTCATCAAGAAAAGGGTGAGGCTGCACATCCACACCAAGAGGATGCGTGAGGAGCTGGGCAACGTGCTGGCCGCCATGAGGAAGGCAGCTGCCAAGAAGGACTGAGCCCCTCTGGAATAAAGCTTTGCAGAAAGTTAAAAAAAAAGGAAGGCCAAGGCGGTATTGTCCATGGTGGGAGAACTCAAGCTCTCCTGGACTGAAGTGGTTGCCTGTCAAGTGGACACCTGCTTCTTCTGCTTCCATTTCATCTGACAGCAACCTGAAGTCTAGGGTCAACCGCACACACCCACTGTCTCCTGTCTGTCCCAACCATAGGGGGAAGAGGGCAGTGCAGGGCATAGCTGCTGGGGGACAAGGCCTCCTGCTGGAGACCTGGAGCAGGAAGCAGGTTACTGAGCACGGTCGTGCCTGCGCGGGATGCAGAGCAAGCTGAAGGATTCCCGCTCACATCTCAACAGCTCCCTCCCTGGCCTCATGTGTTTCTGGGCTACATCACTCGCCCCATTCCCACTGCCATCACGTCAGTTTCAGACGCTCTCTAGGTGGTCCCCCAGCATTCAACCTGTCCTTGATTCATTCTTCATCTATGACCAAATGGATGTTTCTGAACTACAGATGTCAATATGCCACTCCCCTAGGCTGCCTCTAGCAGCTCACTGCTGCCTGACAGTTAAAGCCCGCGTTCTTGGCTGGCTCAGGGGCCCTGTACCTGGCGCCCCTTCAGGCTCCTCCCACCATGGACAAGTGCTCTGCGGTGCTCCAGCCAAGGCTGCATCTCCATAAGGGATTTAAGCATCACACTGGGTCTGGACTATGGGCTTCTGCACAGATTGAGAACATCCGGGGCCCTCCGAGCCTTTCTTCTCTTGTTAGTATCTGTCAGGTCTGACTGCTGTGTTCTCACATGGCTCCTGCACACCCTTGACTCCCCGCACGATGGCACTTTGCTAGTATCTGTTGGGTCTGACTGCTGTGTTCTCACAGGGCTCCTGCATACCCTTGACTCCCCCCACAATGGCACTTTGTACTTTATATTCATTCCAAAGTTGCTGAATTGTCTCCCCCATACAAATGATGCTCTGACTTGTTTATGGCTCTGTTCTTAGAATGAATCACAGCACCAAAGACATAGCAGGCCCTCAAAAATACATGACAGATGAAAATATGGATGAATGAACAAAAGGAATGATTGAATGAAACGAGAAGCCACTTAAAAGAGTGAATGTTTTAAAAAAAAAAAACCAAACCAAAAAAGCCCCCTATTTTCCTAGAAAACCACTAGGTGGCAGAAGAGAGTACCCGTGGGACAGGGAATCACACTAGGAAAGTGGTCAATTGGTTGCCAGGGAATCTCCCCATACTTAAGATGCTGTATCCTGGTCAGGAAACCACCTAGCTGGGTCAGTGTTAAGATAGCAGACAGATCCCTAAGGAGGGAGCCTCTCAGCAGAAAGTATCACGGGGGTCTTGGTTCTCTCTAAGATGTTCTTACACTTTTTCCCAGAGCCCATGCTCGCCTCTCTGGCTCAGGGTAAGAAAGGGTTGTGCCGGGAAGCAGAATCGCCAGGGGCAGTGAGAAGACATGTCTGGGCTCTGCAGCCCCCGTAGTTCACTCAGGCCTTGCCAAGCAACAGGAAGCGATGAGGAGCGGTGCTTTATTTTGGGAATCTTGTGGAACTAGGAAGCCAGAAGCTCTTCATTAACCAGAAATGCACTGGCAGGAAAAAAAAAAAAGCCCAATTGTTTGAGATGATTTCTAACTCACAATTGAACAAGAGAGGAAAAGGGCATTGGGATAATCACATTTATCAGTCTAGCAATTCTCTACCGCTTTACTCTCTGAACCCCAGTTTGTGCAACCAAATCTTCAAAGAGGAAGAGAACAGAAAGATGAGTAGTAAGGTCACATAGCACCTTGCTTTTCAGGTGAGGAAGAAAGAGCCCAGAGAGGGGAAGTGACTTGCTTGGTGACGCTGCCAACTGGTTAGTGGCAAAGGTGCACAAAGAACCTGTGCATCTCAGCTCCTAGTGTAGGGCTCTTCTGCCTCATTGCCTTGATTATGATGTACAGGAAAGTCTCAGAGTGAAGTTACCACTTTAAAAAGAAGTGTACAGTTCAGCAGCTGCTCATGAAGTGGAACACGACACTGCCACGTGGCCCTGTGATTCTGTTTCTAGGTCTGAGCCCCACAGAACTCAAAGCACGCACCACGCAAGTTCACACTCACCCACCTGCTCACAGCAGTAGAACCAAAAGAGCCAGAGGGGCAGCCAGCCCCAGCATCCGTCACAGGTGGAGGGAGAAACATCCCAGCACAAGCGGCACAGAAAGGCAGGACCATGGATGGCAAGAGGAAATCTAAGATCCAAATGGACTTTGGTGAGCTATAGGACTGACCCACACAGAAAGGCAAAGGGATACCTTTCTGAATTACCTGGGCATCAATTAAATGTACAAATCTTCTAGGCAGGTGCCACATGAGTCTGTAGGTCTACTTTACTAATTCTGAGTTTGCATGCCCACAGGACCTTGTCATCCTACGCAGGGAGAAACGGCCTGAGCTCAGGACCTGGGCATCCCTCAGGACCTGTGAGAGACTCAGATCCAAAATGCCTGGGATGGGGCATAAGTGAGGTGGGCAGTGGCTGCACGGGGGCACACGCAGGGCACGATGGCCTCCTGTTCTAGTGTGAGGCCTGGCTGTGCAGCCGGGCTGCCTGGTTTGAAGTCACTCCCCACGTACAAGGTGTGGGTCCTGAGCAGGTGCGAAAGCTCTGGCATTTGTGCTTCTCGTCCAGGACACACCTACCCCAGGGGCTGCTGTGAGGTCTCTGCGCATGAAGCACACAGCACACACAGGGCTCAGGCCACACGCCCTTGTCAGGGGCAGGTCTGAGCACACAGAGATGACTGACGGGCACATCCTGGTTCTCTGCACCACTCTGTCAATGTCAGGAGGAAGTAGTTATGAGAACGGGCCAGCTAGGACCACAGGCTGCTTTTCTATTGTCCAAGTCCTGGTTTGCTTTCTTTCCCCAGATTGGGGGCCCCCTGGCATTTATTCCACAAGCTGTCCCTGGCAGACAGGCGAGATGCCCACAGATCCCTCCCGCAAGCTGTCGCCTTTGGGAGCTCCCCGCACTCCCGCAGCCCCGCTCTCGGCAGGCTGTGCTGGTGGTCACAACACATCAGAAGTGACAGAAGACTGTCAGCTCCGGGACGTGGCTCAGCTGGCAGCTCTTCACCTCCTGTAGCAGAAGCCACTCACACTTTTGGACAGGCACTCGTCCATGTCACAGGCTGGCCTGGTGACAGTGCTGGTCTAGAGTGTGGTTGTAATAAGATACCTGGGCTCTCATGGAGCCTCCATTTCAGAGGGAAAAACAGGACAAATGCTGACGAAAAGATCAGGCAGCAGGAAGTAGAAGGGAGAAAACAACATGAGTCTCGTGCACGTTTATGGTGGCTTTGCTGAGAATCACCCAACCACAGAAGCAACCTGCTCTTCAGCAGGACAATGGATAAATCAACTATGCCACATGTGGAGTATGGAGTATCATTCAATGCTGCAAAGGAAGGAGCTGCTGAGCCCTGAAAAGATGGTGAGGAAACATAACTACATATTCCTAAAGGAAAGATGCCAATCAGAAGAGGCTACACAATGCATGCTTCTGACTCTGCCTTTCTGGGAAGGGCACAACTGAGGAGGCAGGAAAAATAGCTTGGTTGTTAGCATCTCAGGGAAAGAGAGATGAAGCTACTCTGATGGAGCTGTAATCATGGAT